GATCAAGCCCACAACCGGAGCATGTGACCTTGATGGGAATTGAACATGGGTCCCTTCAGTCCACAGGCCAACACTCTATCTACTGAGCCAAACTGGTTAGGGCTAAAGGGGCTTCTTTAAGGAGAATAAAAAAATAAAAAAAATGAATAATAAAATAGCAATAACTATATACCTACCAATAATCACTGTAAATATAAATGAATTAAATTAAAAAAAAATGTAAGGTGGATAAATGAATAAGAAAACAAGACCTATATATATGTTGCCCATAGGAGACTCACTTCAGATAGAAAGTCACATTCAGACTGCAGGGAGTTCACGTAAATGTGAATTTTAAAAATATAAATACATGCAGTGCTGTGATTGTATTTTCTCTTCATTATAATTTTCTTAACATTTCTTATTACTTTATTGTAGCAATACAGTATATAATACAACATACAAAATATTTGTTAATTGACTGTTTATTTTATTAGTAAGACTTCTGGTCAACAATAAGCTATTGGTAGTTAACTTTTTGGTAAGTCAAACGTTATATGCAGATTTTCAGTGGTGGTGGGGGTTGGTGTCCCTACCCCCTTGTTGTTCTTGGGTCAACTGTACTTCTTTTCCTTCCTTATTGTATTAACTGGACTCTCACAAAGAATGTGGAATAATAGAGGTGATGGTGATCTCTGTCCTGGTCCTGATTTTAGATGAAATGATTTTGTTTAATATAACGTTTTCAGTTCATTTCTTATATATTTTGTAATATGAAGAAAGTTTTCTTGTATTTCTGTTTCACTTAGATGCTTTATATGGGATGAATGCATAACTTCAACAAATGAACTTTTAGCATCTAGTTATAGAATTTTATTATTATTTTCTGATTAAGGCAATAAATCATTACAGCAGAGTGCTTTATATTGCCTGTCTGCAGGCCTCCATGGCTCCAAAGAGCTTAGAGTAAGTTTGCCCTTCTGTCCAGGTTCTTTGGGCAGCAGTTGATTTTAGGAAGTACAAGCCTCTGGAGTAAGACTGTCCCTTTGCCTGGGTCAGCAGGCTTCAAGTGAGAGCCCCAGAAATGAGACTTCATCTTTCTTCTCCACATCCTCAAAACTTCATCCTCCTTATCTGCCTTTGGGTCATTGAGACTAATATTTTTCACACTGTATTCCCTGTTTATATCACTTATTACAAGAAGTCCAATTTTCTGGACTCTAATCTCCAAGAATTTCTGTCTGTCCATTTTCATGATTCCATTAATTCTTTTTCTGCAGTATTGAAATTTTAACGTTGTATCCCCTGGCAGGTTAAATGTTGCTATAGGCTAAATGTTAATGTCCACCTTTACCCTCTCAATTCATATATTGAAATCCTAATGTCCAATGTGATGGAATTAGGAGCTGGGGCCTTTGGGAGATGCTTAGATCATGAGGGATTAGTGCCTTTATTAAAAAAGGCCTTAGAGAGGTTCCCTGTCCCTTTGCCATGTGAGGATACAAGTCTGCAACCTGGAAGATTGCCCTGACCTGACTATGCCAGCATCCTGATCTTGGACTTCCAGACTCCAGAACTGTGAGAAATAAATTTGGTGGTTTACAAGCCATACACTCTGTGATATTTTGTTCTACTAACCCAAATGGACTAAGACAAATGTTCTTGTTCCTCACTGACACTTGTAGGTCATTTCCTCTCTCTCCTTCTTAAACATAACCAGTTCTGATCTCTTCATCAATTTCTACCAACTACTATTTCTTTTTTGTGGTAATTATCTACTTATTCTCAAACTAGTAGCCCAGTGCATGAAATTCGTGCATATTAAAAGGGGAATTGATTAGGGGAAATAGTTTAATGTTGCTGTTTGCCCTTTTTCTATAATAGAAGTGTCAGAGATGAAAGAAAATGTATATGAAAATCTCCCTCCTGTCAGAGTCTGGGGCATGCTGTGGGACCCAGAGTCAAGTCCCCGCCCACCTGCGCATGCCTCAAAATTGCACAAGACCCAGACCTAGCCAGCTCCACACCCATTGGGCGAGACCCAGGCCTTGCCAGCCCCACTCCTGTCAAGCCTGCGGCTGGCACTGGCCCCAATCACTGCGCTATCAGTGGGTTTAAGTGGGGCCGGCACTGTCAGTGTGTGGGAGCGGCAGCGACGGGAGTGGGGCTGCTGGGACATGGGACCGGGGGTTGCGGTGGGTGGGGGTGCGGAGGAGGGGCCAAGACCTGCTCCTGTGCCTACCACAACCTCGCGGCCCACAGTTCCTTTCAAGATGCATGAATTCATGCATGGGGCCACTAGTCTATAATAATAAAAGCATAATATGCTAATTAGACCAGACAGCCAAATGACCTTCTGGAAATCCTTCCGGAAGACCTTTGGGACAAAGCACAGTGGCGGGGGCTGAGGCAGAGGTAGTTAGGGGCAACCAGGCAGGTAGGAAGAGTGGTTGGAACAATCGGGACAGGCAGGCAGGTGAGCTGTTAGGAGCCAGCGGTCCTGAATTGCAAGAGGGATGTCCTGTGGGATCGGGCCTAAACCACTGTCAGACATCCCCTGAGGGGTCCTGGAATGGAGTGGGTGCAGGCTGGGCTGAGGAACGCCCCTCCCCCCACCTCGTGCATGAATTTTGTGCACCAGTCCTTTAGTTAATTGCTTAATTCTAATATTTTAATGAGATATCTGTCTCTGTATGCAAGAGTGACATCCATTTATACTATTTTTGTGTTTTTTTTTTTTTAAATATATTTTTTATTGATTAAGAAATTACATATGTGTCCTTGTCCCCACGTTACCGTCTACCCCCTCCCCTCCGCTCTTGCCCTCCCCCCCCGTTGTCCGTGTCCATTGGTTAGGCCTATATGCCTGCATGTAAGTCCTTTGGTTGATCTTCCCCCCTTACCCCCACCCTACCCTACCCTCCCTCCAAAGCCCACCCTCCTCAT